ACTACCACTACCACTACCACTACCACTACCACTACCACTACCACTACCACTACCACTGCTGCTGCTGCTACTACTACTGCTACTACTGCTCAGTTGGGTGTCACATGAGGGGTGTTTTCTTGATCTTCCTCCTCCTTCATCTCCTTCCTCCGAGGCCGCTCAGCCGGCCCCTCAGCGGACGAGCTCGTCGGCCATCTTCCCCGGCCCCGTCGCGGAAGACCTCGAAGAGCTCCACCCGCCCGGAGCCCCGTTCCGAACGCGCCGAGCGCGCTGGCGGGAGCGGGGCCAGTAGCGCGCTGGCGAAGTGGCGGCAACTTCCACGGGAGGAACCGGGATCTTGGGTGCCTCCACCGCTGGAAGCTCAACTGGAGGCTATCGGCATGGAACATCATGAGGATGCTGCCAAGGTGATGGCGGAAGGCAAGGAGCTGGAATTGGAATTAGAGGAGGTGTATCCAGAGAAGCATCGAACTACGGTGGAGATGCACAAGCTGCAACGAATCTTGCAGCCCCTGAGCCCGCTCTTTCTTCCACAATTACCTCCAATCCCTGATACTTGGATGTTTGAGTCCAAAGAGACGCCACAGAGCTTCAAGGATTATGTCTTGGAACGGCCACCAGCACCTGCCAGGGCACATTACAAGATCTATTTGCTTCCACTGACGGAGCCCGGTGGTGGGCATGAGCATGTGGGCACCTTGCCGGACCTTCGAATTCTCCAACGCTTCGTCGAAGCGTGGTTCGACTTGCCCTGCAAGGTGGGAGGGGCCGGATGGGGTAGGTAGGCATTTGGTTCGACATGTAAGGGAGAGATGGGGGAAGACCGAATACTAGAGAATACGGGTTATATATACCAGTATACCAAAAGTCTTGCAATGATGCTAGGATTCACACAACAATTTGCATATTGCCCGTGTGGAAGAGGTGAAGACATCACCCTAAAACTCCAGTGTCAAAAGTTAAAAGAGACATAGGTCTCAACTCGTAACTAGCCATAATATGATATAATATGTATAGCTTATGTAAATTTTCAATTCTAGGATTTTTGAAATAGATTGTGTCTAGTATACTCATCGTCCATGTGGGCCATGCCTGCCTGAGGTCCTGCCCTTCGATCCGCTCCTGACCGGCAAGGGCATCGCATCTCGAGGTAATGGACATGGAAATGACCTTCAGTACCATGCCAAGGATAGTTTGAGGCAGATCCGCATCCGTCTTCCGATGGATGGGTTTTGTATCATTGGTATCACCATGGCTGACCTCTTCGAGAGTTCGCAGATGTTTGTCCACAGCAGCTTGTCCCTCCGAGATAGGGCTGGCATCTTCTCCTTGTGTCGACTGGATCCTGCCTGGTACCGCGTGAGCTGCCAGATGGATTTCAATGCCTGGTGCTCAGGGGTGAACATGGTTCCCAGGGGTGATGGATATATGATTAAAAAAATCACGATCTGCACAATGAACCACAAGTGAAGACCCTGCAGAATTGACCACATGAGACTCGTGAAGGGCTTCTAGTAGTCCCAACCAAATATACAAAGCATGTATTGGTCCAGATACCTCAAAGAAGTGAGAGACATTAACAGACATGTGACATGTCCGTTTTTGTTGAATCAAGCAAAGCCCCAAAACCCTCGCTGCTCGTTGCTTCCTCTCTCTGCCCGGTTTTGGTGGTGAGACCGATCCAGCGAGGCCCTGCGAGTGGTCGAAGGCTATCCGAAGGAACGTCGCGAGGGCGATTTGGAAACACTCCTTCGAAGGGCTCATGGGATGCTCTCCCATGATTTGGGCCACTTCTTTGGGATGAGACACTGCCAGTTCTACCTCTGCCGGATGCAAGGCAGTAGCGGCTTGCACGAGAGTGATGCGAACCAAGACCAGGTGCGAGGTCCGCGTTTTCACCCGAACGCCACCCCATCACAGCGATGGTCTTAAGCTGAAACTAGGGGCGAAGCAAGCTGAAAGATGCAGGCTTTAGTACCAACCTCTCTCTTGGTTTCACAGGTCAACTCAGCTGTTTGTCAACTCGCTTTGCATCAGGTCGACCTGTGTCCGGTGTGCTTGCGCAAGCTCTCGTGGAATCTGGCCTGCGGTACCCACGAAGCTTCTCCACCTGACCTCACAACCTGGTGTATCCTGCGCTATCGCCGCTTGTTGGCACATGCTGAACGTTTAGGCCCTGTCTTGCACGCCTACAAGCTCTGGCTACGCAGCCGCCTGGCCCAGTTGGACTTCAACGTGCTGCCCGCGGCCGCCGCCGCCGCGGCCGCGGTGTCGGTGGCCTCGGCCGTGAGGAAGGACGGCCTGGAAGAAGAAGAGGCGGAGCAGGCGCAGGTGGATGCTCGGTGGTGCAAGCCCGCAATCTCTTTATTATAACCTACCAGGACCCTCCTGTCGGGGTGTCCAATGAACTACCCCACACTACCTATAGGCTTCTTGGAGGGTCCTGGTAGATGTTGTTGAATGAGTGTAGAATCTGGATGAGTCAACCCCCCAATTTTGGATTGTGTTTTGGGGGTTTTGATTCATCAAGAGTCTACATAATTTTGGTTTCTGAACAAACCCTCAAAGGGGGATCAAAGGGCAAAGCTTATAATTTCCCAAGTTCTTTGGATGCGAGGATGTGATCCAGCTGACCCCTGACAGTCGTGCGAAGCACGAGGCGGAGCTCCTGATGCTCTTCTCTCGTCACGATGAAGACGGTGATGGCCGGATGAAGGCGGATGGTCACGATGAAGAGGGGTTTGAGAAAAAATCACGCAAGATCCAAACAGGGTGTTCATTAGTGTTCGTCCACACGATATGAACAGATCCGAATAAAGGGGAGAGGGCAATGACAAATCCTCTCAAAAAGGAGGTCGCAAAAACCGTTCGCCATCCGTTGAATTCCGGTAAACCGTTCGGACATCCATGCGGAGAATGGACCGACGGATTTTGAGGTGAAAGAGTTTTGCCGATTGATCTCCTCGGTGGATGAAGCATTCTCTGCGATCTCAGCGATGAAGATGTTCGAAGCGGCAGATGTGACGAAGCGGCAGATGTTCAAATGCTGAGTTAGATGGCTGGCAGGATTTCGGAAGAGGAAGAACATTGATGGAAAACATAGGAAAGCATGTTTGCCACTTGGGGTCTTCCACCATGTTGTTGGGGGAGCCACCAAAAAGCCATAGAACACACTTTTGGGATACGATATAGTATATTAATATAATGTACTTAATACTTGAATCATGGCAAGATGTGTGAAGACTTTGGGGGTCATTCATCAAGCAAGTAAGCCGGGGGTCATAGGTCATAGGTCATCCAGTATCCCCAGGTAGCAATTCTCACGCTAGTTCCGAACTCCGCTGTGGGTGTGGGATGCTGTGGATCGTGTCCAAAACCTCACGGCTCACCTGCACGGGACGGGTTTCTGGGGACCGGCAGGACTGAACGGGGTTTCATGAGCGAATGGGTGCCATGAGCGAAGGTCGCGCAGGTTTGGCGGGGAGGATCCCCAATCTCCACATGGGATTCTTCACTTCCTTTGCCCTCATAACCCCACACCATGGCCCTCAAGCAAGTCATCAACATGTGGGTCCGCCCTACAGCTGATGTTCTCCCATGTTCTCCCTTGGCTTTTGATACGCGCACGCTTCGGACAGGTCGAATCCGATGGGGCACTCAGCATAGCAGAGTGGCCTATCTCCCTATCTCCCTTAGCTAAACTTGAGGTGAACAAGGATGGCTCAGTGGAGGTGAAAGAGTTCCTGTCATGGTTACTGCTGCCGGACGATCCGGGAGAAGCGGAGGTGAGGATCCTCAAGCGGCTCTCAGTGGCCCGAGCTGAGCTGGGTTGTGCCAGGGGAGGTGTTTCATAGATCAAAGGCATGGAATCAGAGAAGAATGAGACAGCCATTGGTAAATTGGGAGAAGCAGACAGATGGGAGAGACAATTCCCGTTGGAGAATTGGCCGAGGGCTTGTGCTGCAGGAGAACATAGAAACACAGCACAGTGATCACGAACAGGTTGAATTTCAGAGGTGTTGGGTGGTTTGTTCATTTGTAGCAACGTGTTCAACCTCTGGAGAATGCTGTGCCGTGGTGCCTGTGCAGCCAAGGCAGTGTCTCGCCTTGCACGTCAGCACACCAGTGAGGAGGAATTGGACTTTTTGCCAAAGCACTTGTAGATCCTTTCCTAGACTGCGCACGTTCGTTTAAGACGAATGTGGCAGTGGAGGTTCGCATGGAAACATTTGCGGAGAAAAGCTGGGCAAAGCGCCTTCAGCCTTGTGGAGAGATTGGCCTCTTCACCTACTCTTCAGTACCTGAGCCGTTTCAGGCTTGTGCAGCTCGCTTCACAATAGGAAAAACATGTAGTTGAGTTAAGTTATATACAGCTCCTACGTGGCTAGCTGTTGCCTAGCTCTGCAGGATCGAGGAAAGGCTCGAGAGAAAGAGCAAGAGATCCTCAAGGACGTCGGACTTCGGACTTCTGACAGACCCGTGGAAGTTCCGGAACTGAAATTTTTGCAGCTTCAATTTTGTACCGTCCAGATTCAGCCTGATTCATAGTCATAGTCATAGTTCTACAACCCTTCTACAAACAACCCTATGACTATGACGATGACCCTCGTCATTCACAAGCCTTTCTACAAATAGGCATAGTCATAGACTGTGATAGTCAGATCACCTCCTTGGGAATGACACCTTCATGCAACCTTCTCAGAGAAGTGGGGCCCCAAAGCCCTCTAATTGTCAGAGAACATCGACCCCTCAGCTCGGGTCTTAAAGTCTTGGCAGCACGAATCCATTTGGATTTCTATATATGCCACTGTATCTTTCAATCGAGTTTCAGTCGTGCCGAGCTTCAGCATACCGTACTTCTTGGTGTTATGAACGGACAAACAAAGAGATGTTTGATGATGTTTGTATTTGCTGTTAGCTCCTCAGATCTGGCGGTACACCTGCGCCCAAGATGGATTTCAGGAACGAGTCAACAACGCCGACAACATGCGAAAGGAGAAGGAGGTCGGTCGCGAAAATCCGTCGACCGGATTCAGTCTCGGCACCCAGCAGGTGGAGTTCGAGCGGAAGAAGAAAGAAGACGAACAGGCCGACAACCGGGGAGTGCGTGTTGCAGAGAAAGGGGCACATGCGATGTTCTCCACTAGAGCTGGTCTTTTTTAAGGTGTCCAGTTTATGTAGGACTGGGATGTTCGACTTAGGCGAAGCATACCCCGAAGCATACCCCCGAAGCATACCCTGAAGCATACCCTCTGGAAATGCTACTACTTTAGTCTTCACACTGCGCGAAGCATACCCCGAAGCATACCCCCGAAGCATACCTCCGAAGCATACCCCATAGTCAAACATCCGGGCCCGGGAACCTTAAAACAATACAAACCCTAAAATTACTGTAAAGTAATATATAAATATATATATATATGGAGATTTGATATTAATTATATATTTTGCGTGGTGCCATGCTTCAACCGTGCATGTCAACACAACCTGCAATGTTCATCAGATTTACAGAACCACGCATGAACCCCTCAGTTGCACCACGGATCGACTGAGTGGCCGGTTTGCCGCCGAAGCCGTTTGCCCAGGAAATGGAGCGGAAGCGGGACCTGATCCGGCAGATTCGTGCACTGGAAAAGGTTCCTGTGGAGAAGTACAAGCATCTCGACGGGGTGGATGGACGTGGACGAGACAGATCATTCACAAGATTGTAATGTGACGACGTCGTTCCGAACGCAGTAGTATATATATATATATCCTCTTCCATATCTCTGAGCTGCTCTCTACACATAAAAACACACATTCATAATGTTTTTGGTACTTTTTTTTACTCTTTTTTAACGTCTGGGGCTGTCCGGGACCACGGCCCAGGATGTTTGATCCTGCAGAGCCACCCTGCCAGGACTGGACTGGACTGGGTCGTGGGGCGGCGTGATGTTGGGCGGAGAAGAGTTGCAACATGTTTAAAGATTCATTCGGAAAAAAAGTAAAACAAGGGTCTTGTGAAAGGTGGCGGAGTAAACAGTAACCTTGACTCAACAAAGCTTTTTTTTAGTGCTTTTTTTTTCCAGGGAAGTATCCAAGATCTCAGTCATCAACACATGACTCCAAGAATCCTGGTGGTAAACCAGATCTTAAAGAAGAGCACCGTGGACCCGCAAGGCACCCGCAAGGCTCTCCGACACTCTAAACCTGTCGGGCGCTGCGGGAGTCGTTGCAGGGCTTGCTCGACGAGATGTCCCTCGCGGAGCTCAAAGAACGGCTGCGGATCGTGCGGATGTCCCAAATGACGTGGGTCATGGGTCCTTTAAAGAAACCATTGAGAGGAGGAAAGCAGAATGGTGAACACTTTTCGTATTTTTTTCTATGTTGGGGAGTGGGGCCGTTTTGAGCCAAGCTCATTTCCTTACCAGCCCAGCAGTCTGCATGTCGGGTCCTGCTAGCAAAAGCACGAGACCAATACAAGCACTGCCAAGCCATCTCCTTGTGAGGTTCAATCGCACCGTGAAAAGGAGCTCGACATTAAACGTGAGAGGCGGGCGAGAGAGGATCGAATCACAACAGGATGGACGGTCCTCTTTCGGCTTTCCTGCCATCTTTGGGATGTCATGTTGCGACTTCGCAGGCAACTGGCCAGGAAGGTGGAAAAGCAGGAAGAGCTCACGGAGAAGGCACACAATCAGGAGTTCAGTCAAAGCTCATGTTCTAGCGATGGCCCAGTGTTTTGTTATGTTATGTGTTTTTTTTCACGTGCATGGTTTGACTGAGTGTGCGCCAGTGTGTTCATGTCTTCTTTTTCACATGTCATGCAAGCCGTGTGTGCTGCAGAGAGACTGCAACGTGTGTCCCAGATACAAATATATATATATATACACACATATATATATATACGTATCCCAGCACCTTCAAAGGGGTCACGGAAGCTCCTACACCACTAAGGGACCTCCAGACAGGACACCCCTTAAAGGTCCAGGTCAAGGAGTTTGCTGGTGAGATGTTCTTGCTGGTGAGTCGTGTCGTTTGCAGGCTGAGATGCTGGCGAAGGTCCGTGAAAGAGCTCGAGAGGAACAGCAGCAAAGACATGAGGAGATTCGGAGGCAAAAGATTTTGGAGGAGGAGCAGAAGCAGAGGCATCGTGAGCAGTGCATCACTGAGGCCAGACTGGCCGCCGACTGGACTTTCAACTGAGAGCTACTCCGACTGCACTTACAATTCACAGCATAGGCAACTGTGACAAAATCATACAGCGTCCAGACTTTTTTGTAGCATTCTTTGCTAGCGAAAAAACTCAACTCTCAGCATCCATCGAAAACCCTGGCATGGCATGACGTTGTTTCATGAACCAATCCAGCCGCTACTAGACGCAAAGACAGATCAGCCTGTGCAGGTGGCGCAGAAGCTTCAGCTGAAAAAGCGGCAAAAGAAGGAGGAGGCGCTCCACCCATCACATCCAATCTTTGCAACATTTTACAACTCTCTCGCATGAAAAAGGTCGGACTGGAATGCTCCCCTCCCACCATCTCCCACCATCTCCCACCGTTCAATGTTGCTTTTTCCTTGTGACGATGCCCCAAACCGTGGGACCATCACGGAGCAACGTCTCCGCGCGACCGGTGGAGGAGCAACGTCTGAAGTTGGAGCTCAAGGAGATCGCCACCAAACGTCAGTTCTTGGCCGCCAGCGCGGAGCAGGTGCGGGTTTGCGCCGTTTGCGCCGTTTGCCGGGCTTCTTTTCTTTTGGGGAGGTCCGGGGGCGTGTTCTGGGCATGTTCGCGTGCACCACCGTCGATGCCAAAGCACCGGTGGTTCAAAGGGCATCTTGATGATCCTTGATGTCTTTCTTCTGAGGTTGAGGCGAAAGCACATGCCGAGCAGCAAGCAGGTTTAGATCGAGAAGCCATGAAGAGACAGAAGGTCACCTTGATCGAGCAGCGGAAGAAGAATCAGACCAAGGTGGCTGCAGTGCAACAACGCAGAGATAACCAGGAGCCGCACCTGGACATGTGCAATGAATGCATACTTGGCATACTGTGTCATAGGGGTTGGAATAGCGACCCAACTGTCCCTTACCCACAATCTAGCCAGGTGTTCACCTGTTTTCATGATTTGGCATGCAGTGTTTGGCCCAGACATGCTCAGTGTTTGGCTCGTTGGATGAATATCCAACGAAACCGTGGACCTCGATCTCGTCGACACCGCTGCGAGGAGCACGAGATCGAGGAGTATCAACAGATGCAGCAGACCGTCACCGCTCGGGTGGAGCGCGCGAAGGCGGCTGATCTGGTGCTGAAGCAGGAGATCCTCCAGTCGGTCCAGTCCGCAAGGAATATGCAGAGACACACGGCCAAGAAGAATGTGGCTGAGATTGGGCACAGCGCCAATGCATATATGAAGAGGATCCAAAACCGGATGGCTACTTCTTGCTGAGAGGTTCTTTTTTTCCTTTTTTTTTGGGCTGGACCCAAACGTTTGTGTCAGAATCTAAGTGGTCAATGGAGGAAAGCACCCCTCAATGTCACGAACAAGCTAGTCCTTTTTTTGCTTATTCTCTAAACTGTTTCACCTGCAGGCTGCCCTGCGAAATGCATGGAAAGTCAAAATCTATCGCAGGCAGTCTCTATGCACGTGAATCAGGCCAAATGAGTTTTGGCCTTGGCCAAGTTCAGCTTTGCATTATCAATTTATCATCAGATCAGATCTTGTTGCAGTAGATGAAAACCTTGCTGTGAACTGAAACTGCAATTGTATTCACGGTATTCCACATGCAAAGCGCGAGTGAAAGAATCTGTGCTTCGGCCTGTACAGTGATAGGAAGCCACTGCTCCAAGCTGTTTGCTCAAAGGCGATCAGCGGCGCTTTGAACCAGCGAATACGGCGTTTCACAAAAACGAGCGACGCCTGCCTCTTCTTCAGAGAACGAAGAACCAAGGCAACCAAGGCAGCCAGCATTGCTCTTCAGGGCACCTGCCACTGCTTCGCTTGCTTCGCTGGCCGAGTGGTGTGTTGGTGGTTTGCTTTCTCACTGTTTGTCGAAAGCATTGGCTCCAGGTGTTGCACTGAAGTTTGATCGGCCAAGGAAAAACAAGAAGACACAAGGACCTAAGGACCATCAAGAATCTAAGGACCTCTAAGTGTCTCTGGCCACCTAAGCGAAACACTTCACATTGGCCTCTTGCGATACATCCTCACAAAAGCCGCCCCCATTTAGCCGCTCCATTGGCGCATCCAATGCCATCTCGTGACGAGAATTATGCACCTGGGCATTCGCTTTCATGCCGACGGGGTGGGGTGCGCTCTGTTGGGCGGTGCGCTCTGTTGCGATGGGTATGGAAGCTCTGGTTACGGGTTGAGCTCTGCTGCTTTCCTTGAAATCGGACAGTGGCCCCGAAACATATCAATGATATCATCCAAGGATATGAAGGTGTCGGGGTATTTTTTGTTGTAAGCACCTAAAAAGGGTTTGGAATACAAACACTGTCGGCAAGCATTGAAGGTGTCCGCAGTAGATCTACCTGTCGTCCAAGGACGGCTGTCGTCCAAGGACGGCGCAGGCGCTGTATCTCTCGTGGATTTGCGGATCGTTTGAGTCACCATCTTACTACTACCGGGTGGCTGGGTAGCGGCTCCAAGGCTAAAGAGGTCTCTCCCTGGTCTCTCCCCCCAACTCCCCCAAAGCACCACAGCACTCGTCCCATAAAAACAGGCACTCGTCCCAGACTGATTTGGACCGGAAATGACTGGTTTGGAGGGCCTCTTTCTTTGCCGCGGCTGAGGAGTTCATTCGAGTCTTGGGGAAGGGCGCTTTCGGAGTGGTGGAGCTTTGGCGTCAGAAGTTCAAGGATGAACAGCTCGGAGCCCAGCTCGAGAGGTTGGGAACCGGCCAGGCCACACCACCATCTGTGGCCGTTGAGTCTGTTGAGCTGGTTCCGCCTTGCTGGCCAGCAGGTGTGAACTGACCAGTGCTTTTCTGGGCGATTCGGTGGTCAAAGAGTGTCAATGAGTATGCACAGTATGCACATGTTGATTCCGTGAATCCATGTGCCCTGCACCTTGTCGCTACTCTCGCGTTCCACGATGTTCCATGTACTTCTTGAGGTTGGTGGCAGCCAAGCGTGACTTGCCTTTGCATGGATCGCAGATGGATTGTTACATTTCTTGCGTTCTGCCTGGTCGCTTTTAAATCCTTTGAAGCGCTTTCATTCTGCACAAAGCTGTGTCATGGCATTGGTTTGTTTGTTGGCCTTTTTTGGACCAGCCGGCCCAGGTATTCACGTTGGTGAAATGTCGAAGGAAGAGATAGAACAGACGCGATACTTTGATGCACACAAGCCAAACCAAAGACACCTGCTTCCAACATGCGATCAAATTGGATGGATGCAGTGGTGTGTTCATGTTGTTTTTCGCTTGGTCAAGGACAAGAGGCTCAAGTCTTGAAGGCTTTGGAGCACCCTCACATCGTACTTTGGTTGCATTGAATCTGGAGCGAACGTGATGGTGGAGGTTCCATGGTTTCGTTGATGTCTTGGGTCAGGAGACCCCCCTAAAGAAGGAGACGTCGGTGTGCGGATGTTCAGGACGAAAACCGTTGGATCAACCACACACATGGTGCATCAACTAGAATAACATAACATCGATCACCTGCTCTGGTTGTCACTCCCTGTGATCCTTATTGCTTCAACATGACCATTTGGACGTCCCCTGGTGGTGGTGGACCTTTGACAGGACGGCCCTGGTTCGATGTCGAACATCTCAAGTTCGGTCACCGATCTCATGGGATCCAAATGGATCCAACCGAGCCCTGTGAAGCAGGCACGACCGCACGGCCGCACGGAGCTTTCGCGCATCTCCACCTGCCCGGGTGAAGCGGCTTCCGTCACCGGAACGAGGACACCAGTTCGGCGGATCGATCCAGTGAGGTGACATACATGGGCAGCTGGGTGAATCGTAAAGAGGAGGCGGGGTGGGCTTCGTCAGCAGACTGCTGGGACTCCTGGACTCAGTCTGGAAGAATAGGGGGATGTTTAGACGTGTGCGGATGTTTCGGAAATATCAGATTTGTTCCGACGCCTCGCTTGCTGCCAAAACGCTTCTTTGCAGTTTAAGTTTGAACCACGATTTGCTTTGCAGAAATTTGGCTTTGGATGGCTTCCCGGACGATCGATTGCTTCCGATTTTGCAGGACCTCATCATTGTCCAACACTATTGTGACGGTGGGGATTTGGCTCACTACATCTTCTACAAGAAGAAGAATAAGGAACTGATCCCAGAGACCAACGTCATTCAGTGGTGGCCCGGTTCGTTCATTTTTCGATGGAAGTCGGCCGGCTTGGCTACGGAAGATTTCGGTGTCCTCGGTGTTCTGGCTCCGAGATGTTGACCCCCCACAAAACAACGATCCCACTCCGGATCAATCGAAAAGATTTAACTCACATCCAGGATTCGGCAACAAAGGTGAAACGCATATTGGGATGGTTCAAAAGGGATTGAAATTGAAAAGGATGTCTTGGGTGGGTCACCGGAAGAACCGCAAAAGGCAGTTTCACTGGGTTGGGGCGCTGGGGCTTGCACATGATTGTTATCCGCACCTGCTGTCATCCCACGCACCCGGCACCCAAGGTGTTCAATGCTTGCAAAAGCTAGTACAATGCGAAGCTAAGATGGTGCAGGGTGTCTTTTCGCCCTGTGAAATGAGATAAAATAAGTACGGGATAGTATGGGTATATACCTGAACTGCATCGGTTAGGGGAAAAAGGGGCCAACAGGTGTGCGGGTGTGCGGGTGTCGGATTGAGTTGCACCCGATTATTAAGCAAGATGCATAAATGTGATGGCCTCAGAGTATGCTTGACACATGATCCCATGAGTTGGCGCTTTGGCCAAGGCTTGCGCAGCTATCACATGCGCTGCAGTACTGCCACAAGCGGGCAAAGATCCTTCACAGCAACTTGTCCCGCAGAACAAGTTTTCTGACATGATAGATCAATATTTTTCTAAACACTGTAGTTTGTTTGGTTCCAGTTGTGTTAAAATAGTACATGATGGGCATATGACCCCAAAAATGAAGCAGGATTTCAGAACGATAAGGAAGTGAAGCCCTTCTTTCCACCATTGTGATATTGTGACGCAATGTGACGCATTTGGCATGTGATTTTGAGGGAATGCTTTTTTTGATTTTCTTGCAGGAGATGTGAAGCCTTCCAACGTTTTCCTGACACAGGACTGGCAGCAGTTGACCCTGGTCATTTGCACATAGCCAACAACATTTGCATAGTTTGCAAGCCTCTTTAGCAACAAGTGGCCCACCATGGATCGGAAAAACACCCTATAAGATCCTACCAACATATTGATTCAGAGACGTATCAGTTTTTGTTGCATCCCGGCCAGCACCAGCTCGGTACGCGTTCTTTTTCGTGTGGCCTTTGAATTGATCCTCCCCGGTCACGACTCACCTCGTGCCCGTCGGCGCCCGGGACCGACGTCCGAACGGCCGGGCAGGATTTGCGCTCCGTCCAGCTGGGTGACTTTGGCATTGCGAAGAACCTGAGATCCACGGCGACCTTGTGCCAAACCGTGGTGGGCACACAGGCGGACACACTGACCGCGGGCGCCCCACTCAGTGGTCTGGTGCACGGTTTGGTGCACGGTTTGGTGCAACCGGGGCGGGTTTGTCCGGTGGGGATGGGCGACCATCAAGGGTCAAAATGGTTAGTATCTCTCATTGCATGTATATACTAAAAAAGCAGCATGTCGTAGTAGTGTCTGGAAACTCCAGCAGAAGGTCATGGAAACACCCCCTGGGGGTTGTCTTAAACCCATCCGGCTACACCACGATTCCAGAAGGGATAGACCGCAGGGAGATTGGGGAGATTGGACAGGAAGCATACCGATGGTTTGATGCAGGCCTACATGAGTCCTGAGCTCACCCGCATGCAGAAATACGGCCCCAAGACGGAAGTTTGGAGCCTGGGTGCCACCTTGTACGAAATGTGCCTTTGGCTGCCTTTGGTGGTGGACCATGTTGGTCTCAAATCAGGGCTTCACAAAGGACCAAAAGAGACTGACAGACAGTACACAGGAGCAGATGCATGTTGCTTGAGTTTGAGGAGAAAAAGAGGTGGACAGTTCCTGAAAGGGCTTGCTGGATGAGAGGATGAGATATGAGATATGGGAGTGGATCAGAACATATCAGAACTGAAGAGGGCAAGTCCAAGATGGTAGGATAGTGACCACATGGTAGGATAGGCGTTCTGTTCTGCAGCCCCTGGCCCTGGCCCATGGCAAGGTGTGCACAGGAGAAGCTTTATGTCTCTGCCGATGTGTTGGAGCTGGTCGAGCGCCCCGGTCTCGACGACACACGGGCCGTGACGCTGAAAACTCACTTGCTTTCACCTGGATACTGTAGGAGAGTGTTGGAAGACATCCTAAACAAAAGCACTAGTCACTAGTTCATTCGGGCTCTATCCTAGGTCGTGTGAGAGCACAGATGGATGCAGTCAAGAGTCAAAAGCACTGGATTTCTTTCTCTAGGATGAAGGTATGCAGCTCAAGACAGCCCAGCTAGACAGAGGCAGCTAGACAGTCCACCACGGTCCACCCAAATGGCAGGAGGCATTCTGACTCACCCGATGTAGACCTTGTGGCTTGATGCCACCGTGGGCTTCCGTACACCCCAGTAGACCACGTGCCTTGCCACGTGTCTTGAAATTGTTCTAGAAAGCTAACATCGGGTGCTCCCGGGGCAAACGAACGTGGTGTTCTAAACGCACGGGCTGGGAAATGCAGTAGTAGTAGTAGTAGTAGTAGTAGTAGTAGTAGTAGTAGTAGTCGATCTTCCGAATTTTACCCACTCATTGGGACTCCAAAAGCAAATCCCGTGAGGTAGCCCTAGGATGGTCGTCGAGCTGAAGGCTATGGAAAGGGTTTGAAGAATCATCCAGTCTACTTCGCCCCCGAAACACCACCGCCAAGCAAAGGCTTGATGCACCAGCGTTGGAGCCCCACCTGGTTGGTTTCGTTGGTCGTTGCCAAGTGACTTCAATTTCGGACCATGATGGAACCTGGACACCCTCAAACATGCCGGACCTGTTCCGAACATGTCATCCAGCCCCGACCCACGGACCTGGGCCCACCCACGACACCGAGCCGGTGTCGGGCCCACCGCATCGACGAGGCAAATTGCGAGCACCAAAGAGGCGCCCAGATTGTCCTCGGAGCTCGGTGGCTGGGGCGGAACACGCGTGGTGCTGCGAGCGTCCGCTCGGTGGTGTTTTGCGCTGAACAGTAATCCGTAGAAGACGTTCAACCCAACACCGGAACATCCCATAACGGAGGGACTTGGTCTCCCTAACGTTGCAAGTTCTTTGCCTTTTTCTGCGCTAGTTAAAAAAGGTGTCAATTGTTGTTGCAGTTTTGCGGTGTGTTTTTGGCCCCAGTCATCCCCGAACATGTTTTTAGGCTTCGTCCATTCTAGGGCCCGAACAGGTGACTTGAACCGTTGAAACCCGCTTTGAATGACACGTCCATTTCTCTATGTTTCATCAACAGCTGCTTCTTGGCAAAATGCAAACTGAGACACTTCACCCGTCCAGCTGTTCTCTTCTTCACACTCTACAAACAAAAGCAGCAGCACATCTTTCCCATTCACCCTATATCTCACATGTTCAGAGTCACCGACGGATTCGGATTGAGGATACTCGTGGGAACTCCAAGAGATTTGCGCTGCGATGCTGGTGAAAGATCCAGGCACCCGCCCCACCTTGAGCGAGATGTTAACAGATCATGAGCTCTTGAGAGCGACTCGGCGGTATGCGTGGTTTGCGTCGCGACTCGGTCGGGCTGTGGTACTTCACCGTTCCAAAGGACTCTCTCTTGGGTCTACTTGGGGACCTAAGATATAGACGTGGAACACCATTCGCAAGACCAGTTTCCCTTTGCCTACCTTGGAATTCTCCTTAACCAGGAAGAAGGAACATAAATATCGGACTGTTGATGACCATGAGGCAGTGGGAATTAGAGCCTCTTTCTTTGTGACTCAGCAGTGAAAGCTGAGGCATAAGGGTGATTAAGTTTATATCACTGCCATCGACATTTTTTTTTTGAAAATCGGAACGTGCTGAGAATAGCAGAAGCCTCGTCACTCGTCTTTGGTTCAGAAGCCTTGGCCGCACATGCACCTCACTGCCGCTGAGGTCACGGTCCTCCAGTTGGAACGGAACGTGGAGTGGAAAGACTCCTTAGTGCCAGAGGAGCTGCACAGCCTGGAAGTCCCAAGTGAGTCCCAAGAGAAGTTGCGGGAGCTCTTCAAGAAGTACAGTAAGAATGGGCTCTTAAGCCGGACAGAGCTCACCAACCTCTTACAGAAGTTGCATCCGAAATGGGCTTCGGGTGTGGCGTCGGTGTTGTTAAAAGCTGCCGATTCCAATGGCGATGAAAATCTGGACTACGAGGAGTTTCTGAGTTGGCTACTTGGAGGTGAACAGGAATGGACTCCCATTAAGCAGGCGATGATTTCGGCTGAAGATGATGCTGACGCTCCTGTGCTTCCGGAGGGTTCCGGAGGAGGTTTCTCTGAAATGGCCGCAGATGCACGTGAGCGTCTTCTGAAATCTAGCACAGGAAGTGGAATGACTCTGGAGGAGGCAGCAGAAGTCAAGGAGTTGCAGGAGCTGGTGAAACTGCAGAAGGATTTGATTGAGCTCCTGAAGCAATTCCCAGCGTTTGATCCCATCTCCGAGGCTATGGCCGTACTGGACTTCAGCTCTTGGTCGGTTCCACAGCTGAAAGAGTACATTTCAGCTGAAGGGCGCTCCATCGCAGGTTTATCCGAGAAGCAGGACTTGGTGGAACTCTGCGATCAGATCTTCGCTGACTCGACGGTCTCCAGCGACCCTGTCTCGGTCTCGCCAGAAGAAAGGAGACTCGGCGCGGAGTCGTTGGCGCGTGCCAAGTGTATCGATGCCAGACTGCGTTGTATTCAGATTTTGCAAGACACCAGCCAAGCAGGACCCGATCCCGTGGAATTGGCCGTGGCCGTCCGACAAGCCCAGCGCTTGCTGTCTACAGAGCCTTGTGAGACGGCGATTCTCAGCCATTCACAGAGACTGGGGATGTGTGCGGAAGACCAATTCAAGAGTGCGAAGACACTACCTGAAATGGAGCAAGCAGTGAATCTGATGCAAGCAGTCCAGGATGCTGTGAAGATGCCAGATGGTCGGAAGAACTGTGTATCAGCTCGAGCTTTGGATGAGGCAAACTCTTGTTTACAGCAAACTAGGATGAAAGAGAAGCAGATCGGCGTTCGGTCCCAATGTGGCCCGTTTGTTGCTTGGTTGCAATAGTAAGTATCATTCATTGCTACTTCGGCTCAAGTTTTTCAAGCCCTGAATTCATTGTGATCATTCATGATTCATGCTCATGATTCTACACATCATTCGCAGGTGAAGAACATCTCTTTAAAGGGAGATGTGCCTTTCCCAGAGCTCCAAAAGAAGTTGGCGGAGCTTTGGAGTAAGCCGTTGGATTCCTTGAGCTTCTTCACTACCGATGGACAGCTTCTGGACGCCGAAAAGTGGCAGGAGCTCCAGCTCGGCAAGGGTCCCATCGAGGCGCCGGACGGCGAGTGAAGGGAGCGCATCCAAGGGGACGACCGGATGAACAGAAACATTTGGACTTGGACACTTAACAACATGAGATGTGAAAGGACTTTTTAAAGAATATGCCAAATTGGTGAAATGGATGCTCAATCTAACATAGCTGGACATTTTTGATATCATTTCACCAAATCCGCTTGGACCAATAGCCACCCCGAAACCAGCGGGACCCGGCAACCACCCTGCTCGGGCCCTCAGCAGGTTCTCCAGACGTGTGAGCTGTTTTTTTTGCTTCTCCATTTGGGTGTGAAAGCTACAGAAGGCTCTCCCACTTTGCGATACTTGCATCTATGTCCACACAACTTCTGGGATTCTGAGGACATTTGTTGGAACCACCTCCAAATTCTTGGCATTGGCCACCAAACCCTCCGCATGTCCCCGCCTGACCGTGGAGGTCAAGATGCTTTTGGAGCGTGGGGATCGCAAGGGCAGCAAGGCAAAGAGCAAGGTCGCGCCAAAGAGTCGGCCTCCGGACAAGGCGGGGAACGGACCTGGAAAGGGACGAGTAGGGCTGGGAACATGAAACCAGCTTGCAGTGGACGTTTGGAGTCTTTTGTTGTTGTTGTTGTTGTTGTTGGGGGAGCTGGTCATTCCATCGTGTTTCCCCATTGCAGGTGATGATCTAGGATATCTACTGTAGGATCATTTGCACTCTTTTTCCTGATTTCCTGACGGGCTTGACTGGAACATGTACAGCCCCGCTCCAACAGCTACTCACAAAAGATCCCATGTCCATCCATATCCTAGGAGCAAGAAGCTACTAGGAGCAAAGTGCATCGCTACTAGGAGCAAGGTAGCTCCTGGCCTTACCACTAGGAGCAAGGACGCTAATTACTAGGAGCTTTTCCTGAACTTAAACATAGATCTTGGACAATCTCTGTCACGTGTTGCCATGGGCATCTAACTTCGTCAACCAAGGCAGTGGAATTCACGTGTCCGGTATTGATGATCTGGCTCCCTGTGCAGGAGAAAAGATCCTTAGCCGGGCTTGCAGCCTCAGGCAGTCCATGGAAGAGTTGAGCATCAACTGCGAAGTCTGACATTTTCAACTGATTTAGAAGAGCTCGATCTTTAAAAGATCCAGGTGCAAGTTGGCACAGCTGTCAACAGTCGGGGGGCAATGCCTCGCTGGCTTGCACCGAGAGCCCTGCAAGTGGAGGAGTCGTGTCATGCATGCGTGAGTTCTTGTCGCAGAAAGCCCCTCCTCGCTTGAAAAATAGCAGAACAGCGGAACTTCACTTGACGGAAGAGTGAGAGTGAGTGTCCTTTCACGTCATGCGAGTGGCAAACATGCCCAACACGGCTAAGAGTTGATGATTTTCCCATGAACTTGGGGTGGACGTCGCAACGTTGAGCCAAGTGAACTGGCCCTCATGTTTCATGCATGCAATCGCCATTGCTGCGTTTGGCCCGGAGCTGCTGCTTGTAACCGCTGGTGATTTGACGTTATTTCACCTCTAACGGCAAGCATTTCCACATCACGAGCCACGCAGATGTTAAGATGGAGCCTCACAGAGATCAAAAGCACGATCCACCCGACTCTACTTGACGAGAACGCCAGACTCTTTGGTAAGAGACGAAGTGTTTGAAGCAAGATTTTGGGAAAGGAAGACAGCAGGAGAATGGTTTCAAAAGCAACATAATTATATTGATAGATTGTATATATATATTATATTATAATACACAGTGGTTGCAACCGAAGAACTCCTATTTGTCCTCTGAAAGCCACCCTTTCGGCCACCACTTTTCCTGCCTTTCTCCTTTGGGCGTCACATGGAGGACCGCGGCTCCGACCGTTCCTTCCGGTCTCTTCGGCTTCGACCGATCACGCAGGATGAGCTTTCATTGGCTTTGTCATACCTCAGGCTGGAACGAAGTGCTCCAATCGTGTGAACGAGCAGCTAAGCATAAGCAGCTAAGCTAAGCTAAGAGCTGGTTGACTGCACTCAAACAGATCAATCAGCTAAGGAGTTCTCATTTTTGAAAGGCTCACCTGCAAACATGTTCCGAAAGTCTTCTGAATCTGCGGCCCAAGGTGTAGCACCTGTTGTGCCACCGATGGCTTTGAGACCGTCCGCCTTCCATGCTTAGAAGTTGACTTTGACATAGGTCCTTGCAAATCGGACCCAGCCCTGGACATGAGCTGAGCAAGCTTGAAGTGTGACAGATTGACCATGTATGAGTTGTGAGAGAAGAAGATCCGCAAAGCCGCTTTGAATTTAGAGCTGTCTTCAGGGGGTTGAGAAAGCTCGCGCCAGGCCAGTAATTTGACGCATGGACAATCCTTGTGGTCTTCAGCTTAGGGTTTTTGCTTAGACTGCTGTGGAACATTTCCCTATTCTGGAAAGACTTTCTGAATGTTTGACACACTGTCAATGGGCCTAGGCTTACACCACAATATGGTTAATGTAGACTCTTAATCAATACACTGATACACCCACCCTGTTTGGATTGAACAACCTCTTCAGGACTGGGGAGATTAATCAAGAGTCGACGTTACCAATGGCAGATCCGGTATTTTTCAAGTCGTACTGTACCTGTTATATATGTGGTGCAAGAGAACTCATCTATCAACCAGTTTTGCAACCAGGTCTCTCTCTCTCTCTCTCGCGTCTGGCCAGAGGTTTCAAGGGCCAGATGGCCTTGATCCAGACAAAGAAGAACGATGTCCTGGGGACTGTCCGTTCGTTTTGGTCGGAGTTGTGTGTGGAGTAAAGCTTACAGTAGAATCTGGTATTGATTTGCAGGTACCTACCCCTGGTGGGTTTACTTAATGTATTTTAATTTCAGTTGATATGAGTCCACAACACCCTCTCGGCACCGTGCCTCCTCCCCAAGGCACCATTCCGTTCGCGCCGTCTGGGACTGCGACAGGACGAGCCTTTGACCAAAGCGGATGGAGTGCAAGAGCGTGGAATGGTGCGACCGCCGTGTAGCCGCATGGTGTGACTGCCGGTGTGCCGAAGGCGGCAAGATCTTGATCAGACCAGCAAGTGTTGGAGGCTTTGATGGATTACATGTGATGAGTGTGGTAGGGAATCAGAAGGAAGACTTCGTCAAGGGGCTCTAATCTCGCTCCTGCGGGTCATCGGAAATGGGATCACTGGAACGCACGCACCCGTGACACCCGTGACACCCGGGCCTCAATCAGGAGCTCCGTTCGGTTCGCGTCCTTGTTCCTCCGCGCTTTCGGGGTTCATTTCGTTGGTTCGCTGGATTCGTTTGGCTCCAAGGAGTAGCGTTTTCTTGGACCCGTCCATGAGGGGACCGTCCAGTGGCATGGAAGAGGGCTAACGTTCAAACGCACAGGGGTGATGTGGTGACCTAGATACCAGCCACACAAATTGTATACACTAATAGATCTAATGATCTAATGGCTTCGATCAGAGAACACACTGGAGCCCACAGTGCCCACAACTCCAAGTTTCCAGACCCCAATAGACACCTTAGGCATAAGATCTGAAGAAAACTTCGTTTGCAACGTAAGCGTTACCTTGCACCTGTAGGGGGCAGCTGGCATGATCACTTGCGGCGTATGCACGCCATCGGCATCCCGCGACAGCTCATTTTAACAGGTCCGGGCTCTTTCTTGCATGATCTACCACTGGAGATTCGGCGAAATGTAGAGGAAATCATCTCTGCAAACCCTGGCCTCAATATTCAGTGGTTTAGCGATGCCGATTGCTACTCTTACATCTCCTATTATTACGACTCAGAGCTCGCAGGAATGTTCCGACGGGAGTTTCGAGGAAGCTTTCGTGGAGACCTGTGCCGGGCTGCAGTGCTTTACCGAGAGGGTGGCTTCTACGTGGATTTAGACGTGGAATTGCTCGTGCCATTATCCACGATGATCGGTGTGTCCACCACCTTTCTCTCAGCCTTCACTGCAGATGGTGCCATACTCAATGCCATCATGGCATGCACTCCCTACAGTGAAGTGCTATATGCCACACTGGTCGAGCTTCGCAAGTGGTACAGAGGAGCCGTTCCACGGAAGGCCGATGTGACCGTGGATGGAGCTTTCACACGAAGTGAATGGATGGGATCCTTGACGCTTCACAGAGCTGTGAGTCAGGTGATCCAGTCCTCCTGTCCTGAAGTGCACCTACTTCCGGGAACTCAGCTGGATTGGACCTGTGGCTCCGAAGTGCTGCGCTTCTACGATGAGAAGGAGCTTCATTGTAGCGTGCTGGAGGGAACCTCCGAGTGCTCGCTGCAACGGGCGCGCTCGCCCTTCGTCGGCTTGAGATATGGCCTCTTCACTCCGCCCGCGCTCGCGCGTGGCTTCGCGACCTCGGTCGGCTTCGCCGGAGGTACCGACGCCTCCGCGTCGCCGCGGCAGCTGATTGGCTGGCCACGCTTTGAAGGGTGCCGGAGGTGGGGCTGTGGAGATCCCAGCTATGGCTTGTCGGAGGAATCCCTTCAAGTGGCCTGGATGTTGCGTGAGAGGTTTTTGCCCTGCATGTGTGGTGCACACTTCGAGTCTGGTCAGCAGCTGGTTACAGACCTTCTCTTCTCCTTGCCCAGCACTGAACAACTGGCACCAGCATGTGAGCGCTTTAGGCCCTTTGTCGAAAGTGGAGACTTAGAATGTGCTGCCGCTGTCGTCTCAAGTAGCTTGCTTTGTGCGAGTGCTGCTGCCGGTGCCGACCCTGTGTTGGCACGTGCATACTTGGCGCGAGCGCTGCAAGCTATTCTGGCTGGCTCCATGTTGGTGTGCTACGAAGGGATGTGGATGGTGCGAGTGGAAGAAATCCTGGACCAGTTCTATCGCCTGCACACTCCAGAGTTTGCTTATGCGAAGCTGAACTGGACTCGCCACAACATCTCGACCGAGGCGGAGTGGGGACATGGACACAGGGGTCCTAACTCAGGTGGACTATCCAAACCATGATTCCAAGGCTTACCCTCTACACCAAAGCCACCTTTGTAGAACCAAGCCAAGAATGCACCAAATCATCTACCTATAGGACTTAGGCCCCGCCCACATCACATGAAAGCAAGATTCCCCCCATACACAGACCTCGCCTCACTTTTGTGACTAGCATTGCGCACTGAAGGTCATCATCCCAAGTGCCACTGAGCTTTCCTACAAGATCACCCGTATCCAAGCTGCTTTGGCACTTTCGGTCTTGAAGCCGACATCACAGCCGATGAAAGCGGTTCGTCCGATCACGGTCCACCCGTCTGATCAAAAGTCTGAAGTGGAGCGCGCAGTTCTGGCGAACTTGGCATGAAGGCTCTGAAGTCTCCAAAGGGCATTGAAGTGAACTTGGCTCATGTGAAAAAGCGGTCCAACTATGTCAACAACGTAGCTGTAGCCACTGTAGTGTCCTTGAAAAAGCAGGGATTCACTCAATAGACATGGTGAGAGCTCACTATTTTGCAGGGTTCCCATGTGCGCTTGAGAACGGTGATCATTATGACCAACACTCACATGAGCCAAAACAGCAGCGTTCAAGCGCAGCGTAGCTAAAGCGCAGTTCAAGGGCAGTTCAAGCAAAGCCAATTGGCCAAGAACTGCTGACAGCGGAGCAACGTTCCATGGGTCCGAGTGATACGGGTCCCTGGTTTCACGGTGTTGATGTGCTGGATGTAGTTAGTGCAGGGAAAGCACGTCTGCGTTCATGCGGAATCCACCGGAAAAGAGGTCGACGCGGCATGAAGGCTCTTCAGTCGACTTGTGAAACACTGACCCGCATTGCCAGATGCTGTGTGTTTTGTGTGCAAACTCAGGAAGGAAACAAACTCAGATTAGTTTGTTGCAGCAGCGTCAGAGTCTCATGTATGGCAACGTCGGAGTGCTGAGTCTTTGATACTCTGATCTCATTTGGTGCAGAAGTTCCAGTCGAAGCAGTGAATTTTCTTTGGCCACCGAATGAACCTCACTTTTGGCTGTTTTCTTGTTCATTGTTTCCTTGAGCCAGTGGCGCCAGCAAGACAGAGGTTCTCCACGGATTTCTCCAAATGTTCAGGCTTTCATGTGGGTGTGTATTTCAATAGCGGGAGACACGCTGGGCCACTTCCAGGGGGGTCGGAACGCCGGCGGTTCGGTCTCCCTAAATACACTTTCATGTCCACACACGTCCACATCGCTCGCCAGTACGGCCGGAGGTACAGCTGGACAGCGGGGCGATCTATGCTGGACAGTGGCTGGGGGAGCCTTGGCTGAGCGGGGCAACGGAGGAGGTGTCGGATGTGTCGGGCTTTGGCCTGCTCGGTGCTTTGGTTGGACGGCTGGATGGCTGAAGGAGGGGAGTGAAGCACTTGGTTGTTGGTGGTTTCGGACCCCCAAAGCATCCCAACGGCATCTTCCTTCCCGGACCCACTTGCTCCGAAACCTTCCTTCCCACCTGCGCGCCCCCCCCCACATCTTCCGAAACCGCTCCGAAACCCACCCACCTTGTGCCGGTCTGCCGACCCGAGGACCAGCGCCATGGCCACGGCAGCCTCAGTCGGTCGGGTGTCCCTCGGGTTCGTTGGAGTGGCCGTGACCGGTGAAGGGGGAGAGAGCCGGTGAAGCCTTCAGGGCCCTGAAGGGCCCTGAAGGGCTGCGGAGCCTTTTGGTTTTGTTTGGGGCTTGAAGAAGTGGCATCAGTGAGGTCAAGCTACCAGCACTGGTACGTGAGGTCTCCGACGTCCCGACTCGGAACAGGTCACGGGTGAAGCACCGGTTTCGTTGGCTTTTTGGCTCGGAACAGAGAAGCCAACGGACCTGCTGACAGTTCGAACCGGTACCGGGGAAGTATAGAACTTTCTTTCGGTGGAACCGAGGTGGCTTGCTATTGCTCTTCAGACCGGTTTCCTCCCAAGACACCCGTCCTCATGATTCCTCATGCCTAGGTGGAGGAGAACGTTCCTTTTTGACAGAATGGGAGGATGCTTGAAGAATCTCAAAGATACAGCAAACCAAATACATGGTACCAAAGGACATGGTCCGAATACATGGTACCGGATGTTCTGTTGGTATTGACCATCCCTCATGTCTGTTTGAAACGGTGAAATTGTGAAACAGTGATAGCAGACCTCCCTTGCCCAAAGGCCGGATGGAAGCCGCTATGACGGCCAATTTCGGCATGACAAGGCACATGGCAGTGGCAGGCCCGCCCAGCACTGGTAAGCTCTGCATGAGGAGGTTTTGGTCTTTGATTTTCTTCTTCTTTTGGTGGTGGCACCGTGGCTACGATGCTTTTGGTAACCAAACCAATCCAGAGCAGCTGGGTGAGAGTCTGATTTGTAGGTTTCGACAAGAGAATGGCGACATGTACTCTGGCCAGTGGTGTGAAGACAAGGCACGCGCTGCGCAGCTGTGCGCGCGTGAGTGGAGTGAGCAACACGTCAGGTCCAGTGCACTGGCATCGGTGCACGTCTCGACTGGCATCAGACCCACATAGACGATTGATCAGCTTCGTACACTAGCAGGGGTCAAGACCAGACTTCCGAAACCAAGCTGAAGATGCGCAGGAAGGCTATTAAGTCATTAAACATATCCATTCTCAGATGTTCATCAGCGCTCAGATGCGATGCGCTGTAAAGTTATAAGGAGGCATTTAAGGGTGGTTTATGGCCAGTGTTATATCATTTAAACGACAGACGACATTCGTTCAGCTCTGGAACCCCCCTGAGTAGAATCAGTGAATGCGAACTTCAGTGAGAACACTCGCGTCTTCCTTTGATTCAGGCGCATGGTCATGGGAAGTTCTTGCACGCCGATGGCTCGTCCTATGAGGGCGAGTGGGACATGGCGGCCTGGCGAGCAGTCGGACGTCTATAGACCTGGCATCAGACAGGGCGGTCCGGGCGCGGGGGTGGTTCTCGTAGCTTCTTCCTCCCCAGAAATGGGGAGTGGAAAGCAATTGGAGAAACGTCGTCCTGTATAATTGGTAGCTGAAACAACAATGAAGAAAAACACTGTTTTGTTTTTTAACCATCTTTTCACCAGGCAGTTGCTGAACCTATAAGGATCTGAAGTCTGGAAAAGGCTTTGAGACTTGGTCTGATGGGTCATCCTCTGCATGTTTGATACTGAGCTGGCTTCGCTGCGCCACGCTGGTCACGTGACACGTGTGCTGCATGATGTGACGCTCACCTGACGCCAGGTCTCACTTCAAGGGCGAGTACCGAGATGGAATGAAGCAAGGTGGGGCGAAGATGCATAGACTTTCCATGACTTTTCAAACAGACCTGGGTTTGTTGCACTTCGTACAAGCTACGCCATGGGCTTGTCCCAAGGTTTCCTAGGTCCGTAGCATCCCCTCAGGTAATAAAGCGCCACAAAAAAAGGGCAGAAGACACAACAAATTCAGCTGCCTGCGAAAAAAGCTCCGTTCGTAGCGTCCTTGTTCCTAGTAGGCCAGGAGCCCCGTTCGTAGCATCCTTTGCTCCTTTCGTAGCGATGCCCTTTGCTCCGTTCGTAGCGTTTCAGGTATGGGTTACTTCCAGTCCTCAGATGGCTCCAGCTACTCTGGGCAATTCGTCAACGATGTGATGGAAGGCCAGGGCCTTGGAAGAAAGCATGGCGGGGTGATGTGGACGGGGGGGTCCTTCTTGCCTTTGAGATGCCTACAGAATTTATATAGATTTATACTAATTTAAATCTATATATAAAGCATTGACACAGGGCAAAAGTGAAAAGATTGAATCAATCGATCTTTGCTGAGGAGAGGGTACCTATCACTTTGCAGATGGCAGGGTCTACACTGGCAGCTGGCGAAATAGTCAGGTGCCATTGGTGCCCGATGGTGCTACTTCCCCCACCGTGGCGCTGAAAGAGATACACAAACACAAACAAGCGAACAAAGCAACAAACGGAAAGAAGGAAAGGAGGAAAGAAGGAAGGAAGGAAGGGAGGGAGGGAGGGAGGGAAGGAAAGAAACCCAACCAACCAACCAATGCGAAAATCCAGAAGTGTCAGTTACTGACCAAACAAGAAGTCACAACCTGAAGTATTCACCAGGCTCAACCCTGAAGTTCACTCTGAGCAGCTGAAGTCCTCTTTCCTCTTCTTGAGCCAAAGTAAGAAGTGTGAAGTACTGTGCATAGGTGTGTGGAAGTACGTGTATCTTGACACGCTCCCTTGAAGTGATGCACCATTGCATCAGTTCACACCTGAAGTTGAAAATGCTTCATCAAGAAGTCTTAAATTCAGACCCTGCCTATGAAGTGTGATTCGTGCCTGTACGAAGTACCAGGGATTAAGCTAGAGCAAGATGGAAGTGAGCTATGCCAAGCTGAGCGTCATTGAGGTCAGCTGCATGAAGTTGTCATCATCACAAATTGCAGCAAAAGAAGTTGAGATCTGAAAATGAATTCTGAAGTCTTGCAAAACTTGTCTTGCCAAAATGGCTGAAGTGAAACACGACTGTCCTGAAGTCTACAACTTTGCCCTTCTGGACCTCAACACTAGAAGTTGGTCAACTAACCAGTCTTCTTCTCGTGCAAGGGTGAAGTTCCATCCTCTTCCAAGGTAGAGGTGCATGAAACGGAAGTGATGAGTCCTTGGGTGAAGTGACTGATGTTGTGGACACACAGAGAAGAGTGCAGTAGCCAGAGTCATAAAAGCAAACCGTGGCAAACCGAAACAGCGCATAGTGGATTTTTCGAGCTCACTGAAGTTGTAGCTTCCAGTGATGTGAAAGAAGTAATCCACGTACTGACGGTTCCACAATCGAAGTCCCCCGTTCTGAAGTTCTCTCCACACTCTATCAGTCTCAAGCTGAAAACATAGAAGTACCACAGGATCATGAAACCTCGAAGGAAGTGACTGAACCGTTCCACCAGCATGCATGTGAGCCTGAAGTACCATCCACTGGCTCCAAGCCCCAAAGAGGAGAGCACTGCGCGGTGAAGTATGCAGGTTTGCCATACTTTCTCCATCTGGACAATTAGCTCCATCCAGAGAAGTCATAGCCACAAAGTGCCCTGAAGAGGCCATGAAAGCTAGGTCATGCATGCCAAGAAGAATGTAGAAGTGTCCGGTCAAAGTCCATGCAGGAAGTGAAGCTGGCCTTGAGGACGCTGAAGTGGAAACTCATCCACCATTTTGTACAGAAGTTGTTCCTCAGGAGTATAGATGGAGGAAGTCATCACAGCCTGAGCTCCCAAGAAGTCATCATGACTTCTGACTCCTGGAAACAGACTCTCCTGTTTTGAAGTTGCAGCATTGTGTGGAAGTCCAGGTGAAGTCAACTGGACCTTGTTCCAAAAACTATGCAGAAAATGCTCTGGATTTAACTGCAGAATGAAGTGAGGGTTGTCATACGGTGGCATCACCGAAGTTTGCAGATCAGAACTCGAACTGAAGTCCAACCCTCTGTTCATACGCTGCGCCTGAAGTTGATCTTGAAGCCTCTGCTGCTGCTGAACCTCCTCATGTGTCTGGAAGTTCCGCCATGAAAGTGGTGGAATGCGTGGAAGTGCCTTTGCCATCTTAGGTGGCATGGTTTCACTGGTGCTCCACTTTTCAAACCTGAAGTCCGATGACGTAAGGGTCCGCCATCTGCAGTAAAAAAAGTAAATAAACATGAAGTCGAGGAAGCCCACATTTGCCAATCAAGGCGTCCGGTTAAACATGAAGTCGAGGAAGCCCACATTTGCCAATCAAGGCGTCCGGTTTGAAGTACCAGAATTTGCCAATCAAGGCGTCCGGTTTGAAGTACCAGAATTGCAATCAGTTCGAAGTCCAGTCGCGACATGGCCACGAAGTGAAAAACATTTCAGGATGATTGAAACAAAAGCAGCATCGAAGTCTCAGAATCGAAATTGAAGTTGCAAAACGGACGGCTCTCAGCACATGAAGTGAACGGCTTGCAGGAAAACGAAGTTACTAACCATGGCAAACTAGCTACCCGGGATGAAGTGAACCATAACTATCATACTCAGAAGTGATTAAAACTTAATTGGGGAGCCTAAGTGAAGTGAAAAGCAACAACGACAACCAAGCCAAAAACAAAACACAAAAACCAACCAAAACCACAACCAGAAGTACCTGACACTTATACGTGTGAAGTATGTACACAATACGTGCTATACACGTGCACACATGCAAGAAGTAATTATAAGTTCTATACCAGTGCAAAGTCGCAAAGTGCAAAGTTCTGTACTCCTGGCGTGCCTAAGGCAAAACACTAGAAGTTACTATACGCCAAACTGGCGATCCATGTTCATGAAGTGTCTTCACAGTGCTCGACCCATGGGAAGTGTGATCCCAAGGGTTGACAGGTGTCTGTGAAGTACCTCCTTAGTGATGTACTTTGTCATCACATCAGAAGTGTTCAAGGTTCCAGCAACTTTCTTGATTGCCACGATGCCTGAAGTTACAAGTTCTTGGATAAACAAAAACCGAAGTTGAACGTGTTTGGTTTTCTTGGAAGTTCCGAAACGTGTTGCCATAGATTTGCCTGCGGTGCTGTCAGTGTGAAGTTTGATGTTGACCTTTTGCGCGATTTGTGATTCTACAAGAAGTGAACGGATAAACAGGCTTTCGCTCGCACCTAGACCTATTGCGTACAGTTCTGCTTCGCCGGATGAAGTAGCTACTGTTTGCTGTGTTCTGCTTTGTGAAGTGATCAGGGTGCCAAGAAAGTACAATGCCATACCTGAAGTGCTGCGCCGAGTTGCAACGCAACCGGCCCAATCTGAATCTACAAAACAATCGATGTCAAATGAAGTCTGCTTGGAGTGCGGAATCACCTTAGGACGAAGTTGCAAAACCGCTGGCTTTGTTCCAGCGAGATACCTTAGGAGTGTCTTCATCTTCACCAAGTGGTCCTTAGTGGGAGCAACAAGTCCTCGGGAAAGTTCCTTAGTCGCAAACTGAATGTCTGGTCGGATGTTGCTGAGCCACAGAAGTTGTCCAACAATTCGTCGATACAACTTGTGCTCGTCCTTTGAAAGAAGTTCTTCCGACCCAATCAACTTGCGAAGTGAATCCACACCAGGTGTGGCAGCAGGTTTACAGTTTGTCATGTCAAGTTGTTCAAGCATTTTGTCGATGTATGAAGTCGGCATCGACATCTCCATAGAATCATCGGGTCGAGTGATGCAACGACCCAAGAAGTTGATGCTTTTGCCTGACTCAAGAACACCTTCTTGCCTCAAACACAACTGCTTCTGAAGTTCTGCGAACAGATACTCACAGGATCCTTTCGGACCGAACAGAAGCAAGTCATCAACGTAACGCAACATGTACACCTTGCGTGCCTCATGGAAGTACAACTTTGAATCCGACTTCAGTCGCTTGAATCCAAGTGAAGAAGCAACAGAAACGAAGTGCTGTTGCCACATTTTTGGACTCTGCTTTAAGCCATACATTGCTTTGCGAAGTTTCCACAAAACGCCACCGTTCGGGTAGTATTCAACCGGAGGAATTACAAACACCTCATCAGTGAGAAGTGCATGCAAAAAGGCGGTTGAAACGTCACCTGCAATGACAAACCAGTCGAACGCAATGGCAAGTGTCAACAACAAGCGAAGTGTGATGAGGGACGGCGTGCTGGCGTAAGTGTCGTCGGGGTCGACCTCTTGATCGAATCCACGAACGCACACGCGGCACTTGACCTCGCCGCCTTTTGGCCGTTTCACCCACTTTGTTGAAATGGCATTCTGAAGTTGCTCGGAAGTACATTCGGAAGTCAAGAACTCTTCATACACCTCGAAGTTCTTGATGGAAGTCATTTCCTTGTTCATGCCTGCAATCTCCTGCTCGCGGTCAAACTCAGTGTCGTACCACAAGACGGGATCGGCTGCGCGAAGTGCTTGAAGTTCTTCTTCACGATCAACATTGGGCTCAATTGGAACGTCAAGTCCATGCTTTGTAGTGACAGAAGCAACAGTCAAGCAAGAAACAGGAAGTGAATCATCATCTTCAAGAACAGATCCAATCCGCTGAAGTTTCGTTCCGCTCCCTGGAACTGTGTCGGGGGCTGAACGCTTCAAGTCGGAAGTGGATGGTCCGACACGCTGAAACAAGTTGGCGGGTTCATCTACGTCATCAAGATCTATGTCTTCCGAAGTTCGTTTGGTGCCATGAGATGGTGCAGAAGTTTCAAAAGCAGTGGATGGAGCGTCCGCAACAGGAGAAGGCGTCACGGGCGCACCGCTTGCAATCTCTGCTGGCGGAGGAGGAAGTATGAGAACATCCGTGTCCTCACCACGACATTTTGGATCCCAGGGGGATGCCTTGAAGTCCTCAGCCATACGTTGGTCAACTTGTTCCGACACAGGAAGTCGGCGAATGCTCCTGGTTTTGAGCACACCCGAAGTGGTGCCGATCAAGTGCATGTCAGCGGAAGCGTCACGACCAAGCCAAATGGCTTGCACCCAGGAAGGCTCTGCCTTTGAATGCTTGCCAGGAAGTCTACACATGACAATTTCACCGAACTTGCAAAGTGCAGAATTGTATCTCCGCGACCAACGTCGCTCATCCGGCGTTAAACCATCAGAGCGAACAGAGAAGTTGTTCAGAAGGAATTGCGCATGCTTCACAAGCCAAGCAAACAACGGAGAAGTGACGGAAAGCTTGAAACCGTACCTAGACGCGAAGTCCTGACGAAGTGCGCGAACCTGAGCGTACAGAAGTTGCTGGGCGTTGCCTACAGCTCCTTGTGCTTGCTTCCACTCTGTTGGAGATTTCCGAAGTGAAAGTCCGCCAAGTTCAGACGTCACGGTTTGCACAACCGTAAGAAGTGCTGGTTCAGGATCCGCTTGCAACGTTCCAAAAGTGCGACCAGTTTCAAGAACAAACCTGCGAAGTTCACCTTCCGCGTAGACAGAATGACCTTTACAAGGGACAACGCATGACAAAGCAAGTCCAGACAAAACATCTCGCACGTTGAGAAGTGTGACTTGGTCCTTTGTCTCCGGATCAGTGATGAACGAGTAATCGCACTGAAGTACAGGTTGCTTCAGCCGAAGTTTCTTCGAATGATCCTGCCGGGACTTGGACTCAACACAAATCTTACACCAACTCCGAAAAGGGAGATGGGTAAGTTCATGCTCAGCACGCTCTTGTGCAGTTGGCTCTTTCGGCACGGGAAGTGACCTAGGAGCTCTTGCGGAAGTGTCTGCTTCAGTATCTGCAGAAGGAAGTGGATCAAAGACCTCTTCCTCTGATTTGCTGAAAAGAGTCAAGCCAGTCCAAGGTCCACCCTTGTCAAGATCACCGAAGTGATTGTCATTGTACCATTTAGAAGTGCCATCCTCTTCTGCGATCATGAGTGTCATGCGCTCGGGTCCAATCATGTGAAGTTCCGGGCCACCAACAAGGTCGGTCTCAGTTGGAGTGAACAAGCGAGTCCTCGGCTCGAAGTGATACCTAATCCAACATGAACCTCCATGCGCCCAGAAGTCATGCGAAAAACGAAGTCCTGTCGCTGGATCCGGCTCAGTCATTGAGTCTTGAAGCATTTTTCTCACCTCAGACACATCGTCGCCGGCCAGCGCGAGTTTGGATTGCAAAGAAGTCGAGAAGTCTGAAGACAAGTCACGAAACCTGACTTGCTTCGGACCAGAAGTCTCAAGGCTCAACTTGGGCTTTTGCTCTGAAGTGCTTGTGATGACAGGATCTGCTGACACAACCTTTGGCACTGGAAGTGTCGACTGCTTTCCTGTCACACGCTGTGTAGGAACTGGCGAAGTCAAAACGAACTCCGTCCTACCTTTCCAGAACTTGCTCAAGGCTCTCTTGGGATCATCTGAAGTTCTCCAGTTGTCTTTGACAACTTCTTCAGTTTTGTCTTCATACGTGACAAAAGTCCTACGAAGTGAAGCAAGTTTCTCAAGTGCAACCGGCCTGTCTGAAGTACCCTCAGGGGTAAAGAGGTTCTTTCTTGGCCTACGATGGTATCGAACTAAAGTGTGCCTACTAGAGTCGAAGTACCAACGATCATGGTGGTAATAAATTGGTTTGAAAGAACTAGAAGTCGGCGCAACAAGATTTTCCGGGGTTTTCTCAGTAGAAGTGTTGGTATTCGGTTTGAACTGTTCATGAAAAGTGACACAAACAGCTTCGAAGTTGTTCTTCTCAAATAGTTGAATGGAAGGCTGCATGAACAAAAGTGAACCGTGTCTGTGAAGTGGCATGGATTGCCCGTTGGGACATTTCATGCACATATGAAGTTCAGACAGTTCAACTGTGTAACCCTGAACAAGAAGTCTACCTACTGAAACAAGTGGATAATCAATGTCAGTGACATAGAAGTGCAAGAAGAAGTCCACATCGCCTGCTTTCAATCCAACAAGTTTCCTGCCATAAACATGAAGTGGTTGACCTGTCACGCTAGTGGCTTCGACCCATTGATAGGAAGAATCGGCCATTCAGGAGCGAAGTTCTTGGGGCAGCAATTTGCAGCAGCTCCACTGTCAAACAAAATCCATGAAGGATCTACACTTGACGCAATTACCATGTGCTGATCCATCATGAAATCTGAAAATTCCGGAAGTGAGAGGTGACCAAGGCCTACACTCTCCAAACTTGGGAAGTTGGTCTCATTTTCTCTGTGATGTTGGGGGTAACCAGAACCAGAAGTGGTAACAGGGCCCAAAGGAACAGAAGTTCCTACTCCAAAAGTGTTCAACGTAATTGCTGCCAACATCATTGAAGTGACTGCACTCCTAGAAGTGCCAGTACTCTGTCTTGAGATCTGACTCTCTTGAAGTCCTGGGGGCTCAGCCAAAACTGCTGAGACCTTAGCTGAAGTACCTTGGTTTCCAGGCGCAGTGTCAGGAACCTCAGAAACCTGAACCGAAGTTCTGGTCTGCGCTTGCTGCAAAGTTGGTGGCACCGAAGTGCCAGCAGTGCTGGACTGACCAGCTTCATTCCAAGTCCACGAAGTCCAAGACGGAGCCCAAGACCAGTCATCCCATGAAGTCCAGTCATCAGAAGTCCACCAATCATCATGACCTACATTACCGATGAAGTAATCATCCCATGAATCACCATAATCACCGAAGTAACTAGGATCATCCCATGAAGTCCAATCATCACTCCATTCATTATTCCATGAAGTCTCATTCCATGAACTCTCATTCTGATTTCCCGAAGTGTCATCAACTGCGTTGATCCTACCAGCTCTGCACTCACGAGAAGTGTGTCCTGGCCTACCACACGTATAGCAAACAACCGAAGTAGAGCTACAGGGGTTTGTGATTGTTCCTTTACCTTTTCCTTTGTTCGAAGTTTGGGGCCATTGTTTTCCTTTTCCTTTGCCCTTGGAACCTTTGAAGTACTTACCTTTTCCTTTGCCTTTGTTTCCACCTTTGCCTTTCATGAAGTACCAATGGCTGAAGTTGTTCTTTCCTTTTCCTTTTCCTTTCTTTCCTTTACCTTTGATTGCTCCTACATCCATTGGACCCGAAGTGTCTGGGATGTTGAGGATGTGCCTTGACCTGAAGTACTGCACGAGAAGTTGCTTGACCTGATCAAACGTGTTGATATTTCCAGCGTTCAACCGAAGATGTTGCTGAAGTGGTCCTGAAGTCTTGTTCATCAAAGTTGCTACTAAGATGCTGTCAGGAAGTTGCTGTCCTGTCTGCTGCTCGTACTTGTTCTTGACTGTTTCCCATGCGTTGAAGTCTTGTTCAAACGTGTGCGTGTTGAACTTCCAATCAAGAATCTTTGTAAGAAGTGACACATGTCTACTGGCATCTGGCAACGAGAAACGCTGGTGAAGTAACCTCCAAGTTTCAAAGCCGTTTCCGCCCTGATTCTGGCGAACCAGAAGTCGGGCTGAGCCTGTACAAAGGTTTGCTAGAAGGTAGTGAAGTTTCCTACTGAAAGTGACTAGTCTCTCCTGCTCTGCAGGAGTGGCCTGTGCTGTCTGGAAGTGTGCATCTACGATCTCTGCGTCTGAAGTAGCAGCCCTGTCTAGGAAGTTCAAAACATTTGGCTGGAACATGGCTATGTAGGTTCTGAAGTTCCACTCCCATTCTTCCCAGTCACGAGGTTCACCGGAGAAGTGTGGGGGAAGTGGCAACTTGAGTCGACCGAAGTCTCCATCTATCTCAGCCATGTTCAACAGCAGAAGTTCTGTACTTGAAGTTCCTAGGAGTCCCTGTCGTTGCAGGGCTCCGCTACCATGCGAAAATCCAGAAGTGTCAGTTACTGACCAAACAAGAAGTCACAACCTGAAGTATTCACCAGGCTCAACCCTGAAGTTCACTCTGAGCAGCTGAAGTCCTCTTTCCTCTTCTTGAGCCAAAGTAAGAAGTGTGAAGTACTGTGCATAGGTGTGTGGAAGTACGTGTATCTTGACAACCAACCAACCAACCAACCAACCAACCAATACTCCACTGGATTCGAGGGAACACGTCATGCCTTCACCTCTTCCCCCCCGCCCCAGCGAAGCACTTCTCCAGATGTCCGCGTGCACCGACATCGTTCCTCTCCGCCGCACCGGTCCTCCTCTCCGCCGCCGTTCTCGGCAGATGCACGGCAACGGCTGGATGACCTGGCCCGACGGGCGCTTCTACAAGGGCGGCTTCTCGGAGGATCGCAAGTCCGGGGAGGGCACCTTCACCTGGCCTGACGGCAGGCGGGTGGACCTGGGGGGACTGAAGAGAAGGACGGCAGGCTTCGGTTTCTGCTTGGGCTGGAATTTTGGACGGCAGTACAGCTGGAAACATGGAAATTGAGATGAAGATTGACGAACATGGAGCAACCACAGCAGCAAGAAGGGAAGAATCCACTGGTGTTACTGGTGTTGGAGGATCTTTCATTTGCCAATTACTGCAATTACTTTTGGAATCTTTTGGATACTGGACTAATTAGTTGGACAATCTGTATACAGTAAGTGTTGAGCAAAGTGCGCTGTACCCAACTCATGTCAAAGGATGAGCATCCAGAGTTGTTTTTTTCTTTATATATATATAAACTTAAACATGTTTGTCTTGCTTCAGTAGACCGACGTTTTGCATCGATCGCGCATGTCAATGAAGCGCGAATGTCGAAGCGCATTGCGAAGCGCTCGCGCCCCGGTGGGAGGTCCTACTGTGGCCAGTGGGAGAACGGTCGCCAGCATGGAGTCGGTGTTTTCGTGGACAATCGCAGCAGGCGCGAAGCGAACAACACAAAATAGTAAATAGATGTAAATAGTGATATTTGCATGGCCATCAAATAGTTGAGAATACGGCAGACCTTCTAAGGATTGAGGAGACTTCACTGTTCTGTTTATATTTATATAGTTGCGGACCACTACAATGATGATCTAGAAGAAAGCGGAAATCATTTTGCCTTGTTTGTTTCCTTTGTCAAAAACGTCTCAAGGCAAAGAAAGGGCTTGTGGAACGAGGGGCAGCGGCTGAAATGGCTGGACTCCTGAACCACAAGTGGCCTCACCTGTTTTACTCGATCTTGGACGTCTTTGGTCGATAGCAAACGCCTATTGGCTCACGTGCAATCAGCTGCCTCATGATGGTCAGCTGCCTCATGAGAGGTTTTGGATGTCTCACTTAGCCAGAGTCATGCCCCAGAAGGCATGAAAACGACAGGTCTTGCAAGTCGTTTTTATGGTTTCATTACTAGTGTGAGACTGCATGGTGCATCGTATGGTGTTTGTGTGTGTGAACTTCGAGTGTGCGACAATCCAAAGTGTGTACCTCGCTTATTGTTGCAAGGGAGAGCAGACTTCTTGGTAGAAGCTCTGCTGACGAACTCTTTTTGACTTTGGCTTGAAATCACAAAGGGTGAGTCGTGAGCCTCTGCCCTCGTAGTGACAAAGCCCCAGCCATGAA